ACGGACTCACGGATTTGACCCTCAACACCCAACTTTTCCAAGGCAGTGTCAAATTTGACAGCAACGGCGTGCAGCGGTGAGCTGCTATCAATGGGTTGCTCTTTGCTGGCTTCTTTGACTGACAGAAGCGTGGTCCCAGGCAATGAACGCGGCAAAGCAGACGCATCATGCTCAAACTTGTCAAGAGTGTAGGCACCAAAGTCAAAGTCAACACGCTTGGGCAGTTTGGACGCAGGCTCACTGGATGCATGCTCCGAGACCGTTGGAGCTTTACGTTTTTCAGGAGCCTCATGTTGTCCCTTCTTGTACTGCTGAGGAACGTTGGTAGCAATCCAAGCAACGCACTCTTGCACAACCGGCTTGGCCACTTGCAGGTTTAATTTAGGAACTACTCCGAAGAAGAAGTCCCTTTCATTACTGCTGGTGGCTATGGGCTTGGCACCTTCACGAATCCAAAACTTGCGCGATTCAGTCGGCTGCAACTCCACAATCCTCTGAATCATGAGCTTGTTGATCGCCAGGCATTTCGCAATTTTATCAGGACTGCCCCGATCCATGCGTTGGATGTCATCGGGGTTGAGGTGGCTTGGCGCTTTCCAAAGGAGTGCATTCAAAGTGTTATGCAACAACACAGCATCGGCTATCTTTGTTGGATCAGCTCGACCCTCCTCGATGCCATGATGCATGGACTGTGTGATAAATGGGTGCAAGTCTACGCCCTGACACACTCGACCAAGCGAGTCAATCAGCGAATCGGCGACAACTCTGAGATCATTCTCATCAAGATGGTCAAGGCTGACAACGGAGTTAATCAAACACCGCACAGTGCTGTCAAAATCGCCAGCCTTTTCTGTTGCGCAAGGCATAGCTTTCAACACCTCAGTCCTTTCAGCTTCTGAAAGCAGCAACAGCATATCAACAGCTTGCTGGACCCTTGACGCGTGTGGCTGGGATGGAGTTTGCGAAGCATCAGGGAAACCAGAGTGGCTTGGCATAGGCGGTTGCGTGGGTTGGCAGCCTGTATGATGCATTGGTTGAAAGGATGGGTTGCTCATTTGCAAAGGCACTGTTGTCGAAGCTTGCGAAGCATCAGGGACACCGGGGGGGTTCGGCATAGGTGTCATGTGTGCGGGTTGGAAGCCTGTGTGATGCAAAGGCTGCATCGAAGGACTGCTCATTTGCATAGGCACTGTCGCCGTCTCCGCGCCTCCTTGGACGTGTTGCCCGTCATACACGTTGCTATGGAGGGGGAAAAACCAGTTTCCCTGCATGCCCCAGTTGGCACTCGGATTGCACTGCCCTTGGTAGAACAGGTTCTGTCCAACGCCAAACATTGCGCAAAACCTACAACAGGCGACCACTGGAGTCAGCTCTGGATGGAATCCACGCTGCAAACCCTTTGTTTGAGCACGAGAGGCAACACGAGAACCGTAAGAAACATCCTCGATCGCAAGAAAGGCTGTGAACATGTGAAATTACAAGTACTCTGCACCACTTCGCAAGAGGTAGAAACAGGTAATGTGAGCCAACAACATCCAAAAAAAAAAACTACAGCAAACCGCAACTGATCTCATTGAACCATTAGAACCTGGTAAATCTGATGCCATGAGATTCTCTATGTTTCTCTGTTAATTTCTCTATGTCCATTGGACAATGACAAGTCCCCCGATGGAGGCATTTTGAGACACGGCATCAGCCAGAAGGCCGGAACTCGTGCCCAAAACATGTATGCAGCAGCTTTCCGCTTAGAGATCTTCGTCAATTTCTGGCACAGCATCTATTGCCCGTGGGCCAATGATCTCAAGAAGGGAGCAGGAGAAAGATAGGATTCAAGTGCCCACAATACACGCGCATAGGACCCATCACACGCCTCCTCCGCCTGTGCGTGTGATGTACGCCCGGACGCAGACATCACAGGAGGGCGAAGTCCCAAAGTGCCACGCGTAAAGTAAAGGTTGGAACGTAGTGATCAGAAAAGACTACCTAGGAACCCGACCTTTGAAAGCGAGCTGAGGCTGATGCAATGAATGTTCTTCACCATCTTCATAAAACTGTGATGAGAACCACGTTATTTTGGGTTGTCCTCGATTATGCCTGAGTGCACCTGGGATTAAGAGCCAACGTTGGCCCAGGCTTAAAACTCGCCAGCACCAGACCTGACAAATCTGCATCGCACAGACCAAGCTTTGTGTGCCTGATCAAGGTTTAGGGTTTAGGATACCCTAAACCCTGAACCCTGAACCCTAAACCCGGCATAGGGTGTCCGGTTTAGGGTTTTGGGTGTAGGGACCCCCAAGCCCATAAATGTGCCAATGTGCCCAGGCATGGACCTGCATTGGTCCCCTCCTCACCCGGAGCTTGTGCTCCTGCCGCCTGGAAAGCCCTGCGGTGAGGGGGAGCTTTCCGGAGCACGGAAGAAAAGAGTTTGAGATCATGGGAGGCCTGCGCATCGCAGACCAAACTGCGCTGTTTGGGTGAGTTTGTGGCCTTCTGAAACAGATCAGCAGATAAGACGTGTTCACGTTCTTGCTGCTGCGGCTTCGTGGCGCGCATTGATTGGTTAGCCTTGTCGTGTCAAGTACTGTACCCCTTGTTGCCACGAAGTGCCAAAAGCTTTGTCCTGTAGGGCACTCCCTGGGAGGCCTGGCGTCAGCGAGGTCGGCGGGGAAAAGCCATTGGCCGGCGAGGACCCTCTGAACTGCCGGAAAGGTCAGCCATGTAACCTCGATTTGCGAAAGACTTCGTGCTTCTGACCCTTGGAGGTAGCGATTGCCTCCCGTGCCAACTCTGCGAGCCCACGTTATGCGCAGTGGACTCGGTTGAAAGGGCAAGTCTCGCAATTCGTTGTATATCTATCTTGAACCATGCTTTCTTCAGAGTGTGACTTCTCTTCGTTGAGGCCCCTTCGCTTCAGGGCCTCCATCGTCCGACAACAGCGGGCAGCGCCCGCAAAAAGTAGCAGAGCAAAGTAGTAGCAGTGCGGGTAGGGATTGTAGAGCAAAGGAAAGAGCATTGCGAGCATTGTAGAGCATCCGACGTGTGCAGATGCAGCAAGCCACTCTCTGTGGCGCTGTTCAGGGGACTGGTGGCAGCTATGACAGCTCGAGGCCTTGAGCTCAGAACCTCTACCAGGTCTTCCATGACCAACACATACCAACACCACATCATTCGCTGTAGCTCTCCCATCGTTGAGAAAAGTTGAGAACGAACCAGGCAACTCCTGACCTAGCCAAGGCCGCGCGCTGCCGAACCCACCGAGTCGTGTCGGAACCTGGGCAGCCTCAAATCACGAAAGTTAGCCGTCCTTGGCTTGAGTTTAGTGTGGCTTTGGCTGGCTGGAGGGCCAGATAAGGTCCGGAGCAATTTCTTGTATCATAGGATGGAGTCGGGAGGGGGGGAGGGGGGGGGGGGACAGGGGTCGAGATTCAAGAGAATTCCCTTTGGGGAGGGGGGCGCGAGGGGTCAAGATTGATAGTATCAATTTGGATCCTTAGCAAGCATGCGTGCGTCAGGGGATCCGCCTGTGATGGTTTCTGTGCCCTTCGTTGATTAGCATCATTGCTACATCATCTCTTCTTTATCATCTTCTACATCTTCACGCCCTCGTCGCTGCCATCATCATCATCATCAGCATCAGCATCAGCATCAGCATCAGCATCATCACCATCATCACCTCCATCACTAACAGCATCACCATCACGTTGGGGTGCGCGGGGTGATGGTGTGGACCTGCTCGTGTGGGGGATCGGTGTTGCTGGTCTTGTGGCGATGCTGAGAGGAAGGAGATGCTGAAGGTGATGCTGGCCGTATGGTAAAGATGTAGTGGGATGGTGGGGGCTTTGAGGAGGCCCAGTGCGCCACGCCCATTTTGAGCTCAACACCTCAACGGAAGGTGCAGAGTGTGGCCTGGTGCGGTTGATTGGGGCGTGTGGGGGCAGTGTGCTGGGCAGTGTGCTGGGCAGTGTGGTGGTGAGGTGCGCAGTGTGGTTGACGCTGTATCACGTAATTCTCAAGGAGAAAGCTTCGCAATACCCAGAGCTAGCTTTTGTTGGCCTCGGGTTCGGCAGCGTTTCGTTGTGTTTCGTTGCAACATCTCGCCGTGTTCCAGCGGCAAGTCATCTGACTGAAGTGGTCCGCAGTTGTGAGTTGTGAATGAGCCGTCTGCATCCGTCTGCTTAGATCGGCTCAAAGCTACCCAAGAAGCTTGCAATCTGTTTGCAATCCGCTACGCAACAATGGGCCAAAGCTGTTGTTGCGGCCGTGAGAAACCGGAGCCTGAGCCAGCGTTCGACAGCTGGTCAAAGTTTGCGGTGTTGCCACAGTTGCCACCATCTGAAGGCCCCATGGTTTGCAGAAGCAACGCGCTAGTTTTTAGTTTTCGAGAGCTGGGCTTGAAAAGGCCTGAACCTCTAAGCTGCTGAGATGTTCTCATGTCTGGTCTCGAAAGGGATGTGTGTGTGTGTGTTTGACGATGATTGCGACGTCTCGGGCTCAGGTCAAACCTGCCATGAGAGGGAGTTCGATCCGCACAACGAAGAGTTTGTGCTGATGGCAGAGACGGATTTGCTTCCCAGCGATGCGATCTCCAACGGTGAGACTGTATTGCCGAGCGGCCAATCACGCGGAACGTTTACCCGCAAGTTTCAGGAGTGCACGTGCAAGGGAGTGATGCTGTGCGTGTTTGTGTGTGTGTGTGGTGTGTGTGTGGTGTGTGTGTGTGTGCGTGTGCGTGTGCGTGTGCGTGTGCGTGCGTGTTTTTTTTCTGTGTGCGTTTTTTTCTCTGTGTGTGTGTGTGTTTTTTTTTATGTGTGTGTGTGTGTGTGTTTCTGTGTGTGTGGGTGCGTGTTTCCTAGCGTTCTTGTCCCGTCTTGCTTGCTTTGGCCATGCATTCGTGAACCTCGACGTCAAAGTACCTTGACGTAATTAGTAATAGATGACCTAGAGGCATACAGAGTCATACGCGGATGTACTCGTACCAGTTAGTACACGCAGTGCACGCAATGGCAACCTTGAAGGACCCTCCCCCCCTCCAACCCGTGCGGTGTTGGGAGGACATCCAAGAGTCGGACGAAAAGCGAAATGCGACGACCTTCGACAGGCGTTGGAGAACGACCAGCGAAGGGACTGATGAGGAGCGGAAGGAGTACCGGCAGAGCAAGGCCGCAGAGGTGCGCCATGCGGAAGGCTTGACCTGGGATCTATAGAAACAGTTGCTTTGTGCAATCAGTTCTTTGTCTGGTGACGGCCGGAGCGTTTTTGTTTGTACGGGCTCGTGGGCCTGTAGTCACATTCGGGGGACGAAAAACCAAAGCACGCACGAGTAATAAATGCCGACTGTTCTACAGTAATACAGTAGCATACAGTAGCCTTCTCCTGCGAAAGCATTTCCCAAAGACTGACAGTGATCCTTTGCAGCGGTTTCCCAATGTCCTCGTCTCTTGAAAGCCCCCAAATCTTCCAGTTGCAGGCCTCATGCGTGCAGCCTGGGAGCGCGCTCAGACCACCGGCAGCTCCGCATCTGCAGAGTGACGGGGAGCCCTTTCTGGCAGCTCTGTGAGTGTTTTTTTTGCTCGGGAATCTCCAGATGAGCATAGGGGCTTTTGGACCTACAGCTTGACACCTCCTGAATCCTGACTCAGTATCACCGGTTCATTGGGCAGTGCTGGCACCTACTCTTTTGGCTCTCTCGCGTGGCTCATGGCAAAACTCCCAATTGTGACAAACTCCTTACACAATCCTCGTGGCAGTAACTTCAAAAGACTGCACAGCCAGGAGAGTGCTTTCTCAAATTGGTTCGAGGATGCAGCAGCGTTTGAAGAGCTGCAAAACGTCTACACACCTTTGAGAGGTGGCATGATTCGCTTGCCTGAAGAAAAGATCCCAAGATCGACGGTGCGGGCAGAGCGGATGCAAGTGAGCTTTTTGCAGCGGGGTTGAACGTTGAGGCTGGGGTGTGCTTGACTGCACTCTGGGCTCCAAGAAAAATGATTTGTTGGCATGGTTGGGCTTCATCTATGTGTGCCGAGTGCCGAGGCCAGAAGTCCAACTCGCTGCTGCAGTCTCCACTCGTCTTCGCAGCTGAGACCACAGACGGCCGAGGCACTGTCAGGGCCTGGCAGAGCAATGGCGCTGCTTCGAAAGCTTTAAGGGAAGCAGCTGAAGATTGCCGTGAGAATAAGAACACAGGGGTGGGAGCAGCCGCAGTGTTGCACAGTGCCCGGCTGCCGGAGAATGCAGGTGAACCAGTAACCTGCGAGGGGGTTGGATGTGCGACCAGAGACTCACGCCCCTTGACAGAGCACACGTTCGAACACCAAAAGAGAATATCATATGTGCACGAAAATGGACTGGCTTGCGCTGCAGCTCATGCCGTCTAAATTAAAGATGGCCGATAAAGACTGCAGATGGGTGCTAGGTGCTAGGTTGTCGCCGGTGGGTTTCGACGGGCTCTTCTTGGCTTCACGTGCTAGCTTCGACACCTTGAACCTTGCTGCCAACTTATTGCCGCAAGCCAGAAGCATCACCTTGTTGACAAGTCCAGTGACTCATGACATGAATGAGTCCAAGTAATTCATGAGTTCCCATACAGTAGTGCGCACGCGTGAGGTGTGCCAAGATCTTCGGACTCTCGAGCCCCAGCTGGTGTCACAACTTCGCAGCAGATGCCCAAGCTGAGAGAATTGAAGTGCAGCCGATTCGGACAATTCTTGGTTTTTCACAGAAAGTCTGCACTCCTCCAGAAGAAATGCACACACACAAAAACTGCACAATGGCCTTAGGCTTTGAGGGCCCGTCCTTCCTTCAATACTGTTGCATACTGTTGCTCGGCGATTCCAGTTCCAAGCTGTGTAAGGGAGCGGAGCCACTGAAGGTGCAAAGCACAGCTTTGAGCGAGAGTCGCAGAGGACGCTGCATATTTCCGGATCTTCATCACCTACGCACGGAGCCTACTGCCTGCGCAGTCACATGCCTGTGAATCTACACCTGCTGGCACCAAACACCAGCTCCAACATTCAGCATGCAAAGCGGGCTGCACAATTTGGCCCCTTAAGCCCGAAACCCTAAACACCGCATGCCCGAAACCCTATAAACCCTAAACCCTAAACCCTTAACACTAAATGGCGTTCTTTACTTGACAAGTTCGCGCCTCAGTGTCAGGGTTTAGGGTTTTAACCCTAAAGTTCTTCTGTCGGCAGGCCCCCAAGCTCTTTTGCGAAAACACGGTCGGAGTTTGGCAGGGGCCTTAGCGCAGTCGAGGACGTGGAGGGTTCAGGGTTTCAGGGTTTAGGGTTTGGGGCTTGTCGTTTAGGTAAACCCTAAACCCCTAAACCCCTAAACCCCTAAACCCTAAATTCTATAAGGCTGTGGGGCCGGGTTTTGGGTTTTGGGCCTCGAATTTGGAAATACGGTTTTGGGGCCCCTTGTGAAGGGTTTAGGGCTTAGGGCTTCACACCCTCCAACCCTAGACCCGAAACCTGAACCCTAAACCCTAAACCCTAGCCCGCAGAAACCCATACAGTTCATTCCCTATGCCCATTTAGAGCCCTTTTGACGCCATGCGAGCCTCAGGAAGCGTGATTGCGGGGCCGGAATCTCGGAATCTGCGCCGACTTTGATGCTGAGGCCGGCTCTGAATGCTTTAAAGGGTTGTGGGGAGTAGGTCCTCAGGGCTATTAGGGTGTCTGCGTTCGTGATTAAACCCTGGCCCCTAGCCCCTAAACCCTCAACTCTTAAACCCTAACCGGCCCTAACCCCTAAACCCTTAGTGTTGCACCTGTGTTGGTGTTGGGGGCCCTCCCCCCCCCCCCCCCCCCCCCCCCCCCCCCCCCCAAAAAAAAAGAAAAACAATAAAGACACTCGAGGCTGGATTTGCTCCATTTTACACGGGTCCGGGGGTAATTTCAATATAGGGAGGAGTTTATCTTAATTTAAGAGGGGCAGCGATGCCCGGCAATCTTGCTTAAAGGCGCGCCAGGTGGAACTTTCTGACGGCGCCCGGACGATTGGTCTCTATTCAGGATCCCACTGTGCACCCCTAAACAGTAAACAGTCAGGTTGTCCTGAATAGCCCAGCCAAATCAACTTTATAGAGGAGGCCCCTACCAAACCAGGTCCAACATGACGGGGCCTACGGGGGCCGTAAGATTTCATGTTTTTTCGTGGCGTGCGCCGAGATCCGGATGCGGACTGCCTCCTCGAAGTCTCCGTCTCAGGGTTTGGGGGGGCTTCCGAACATTCAGGATCCCTTCTTGGGTTTAGGGTTTAGGGGTTTGGGGTTTAGGGTCCTTGCAAGGGGAGTTCCATAATTGGGGGTATAAATGTGTGCCAGAACATCTGGGTAACTCTCATATCTTGCCCTACACTGGTCCTACGCGTGTAATTTCTTTGCAGTTCGTTAGGTTCTTTTGAGTTGAAGGCTTGGGGAAAGTACTGGTAGCAGGTGTTGTTTTTGGCATGTTTAAACCCTAAACCCGAAACCCCAAGCCCGAAAAGCCTTTCTCTCCTGGGACTCGCTATAAGTCCTTAAGGTGCTGCCGTCGCACCCAGAACTCAGGTGTTTCCTTTTGGCATGTTTGGGATGCTTCGGGCTTGGAAGATGCCGTAGATGTGTCAAGGTACCGTCTGTAGGGCGTGATCAAGGGGCACATGGGGCCTGCAGCTGAGGATCTTAGGGGGGTGGGGGTGGGGGTGGAGGCTGCTGTGAAGTGAAGGTGAGGGTTGCCCTCAACCCTAAACTATAAACCTTTAGGGAGTTTAGGGGAGTTCTGGGCCTTCAGCATTTGCATGCGGCCATGTTGCGAGACTATACCTTCACAGGCCTGTTTGCGACTGCTACAGTCCCTCCCAAGAAGGCTGCAAACCTTTGCGATCCTCTGCGTTCCCACTGCAGCCATGGGGCAAAGCTGCTGCTGCACAGCAGCAGCTTTGGCCCATGGTTGCAATGGCAACGCAGATGATCGCAAAGGTTTGCAGCCTTCTTGGGAGGAACTGTAGAGCCGATCTAAGCAGACGGCTCATTCACAGCTGCGGACCACTTCAGTCAGATGACTTGCCGCTGGAACACGGCGAGACGTTGCAACGAAACCATGGCTCTGCGGCTACGGGAATGCCGAAATGTCGGAAATGACGCCTTCAGCTTGCGCCGCGGAAAACTTCAACCATGATGCGAAGTCCGACTTCAAGTTTGCAGTGGTGGAATTTGAAGACGCCATTGTCTGCAGAACGCGCTTGCAAGTTTTTAGTCGGTTTCGAGAGCTGGGCCTGAAACGCTGTAAACAGACGGCTGAGGTGTGCTTGCGTCTTGTCTCGACGGGGATGTGTGGTGTTCAGTTCAGACATGGCAGAAGCAGACTTCGACCCGCCTGGTCAAAGTCTTGCTGCTGCTGCTGCTGCTGCTGCTGCTGCTGCTGCTGCTGATATGTCTGCATACCTGAGCCGGAGACGTCAGAATCAACGTCACACACATGAGGGTCGACTTCGAGCTCGTCGTCAAGACGGATTTGTTGGCGAGCGATACCATCAAAGACTGCAACACGCAGTTTTCGGCACACTGCCAGTCACGTGCCAAAAGCGTCGAGCTTGTCAACATTCCCTTCATTGCGGAGCCCGAAACACTTCCTGAATCCTTGTAAATCCCATGACAAGTTGCCAACGGGGGGGAGCTCTGAATTCCGTCCCCCTTTGGGCGGGCACCTTATACCACAGGAACCGACAGTAGACACCTCATGAATATTGACGTGGAACGCGGGTTCGTTGCTTTGCATTCCTCGATCTACGTGCCAGAGTCATCGACCATAGGGAAGCAGAAGAATCCGGCCGTGGGGCCTTCTTGGAGCATGTCCGTTCCGTATAAATTTGGATGTTACACTGCAATCTTTGTCCAAACTCTATCGCGAACCTGAGAGAAGATGCAGAACTCCCGCGTGGCTCATGGCAACGTCCCAACTGCGACAAAGTCCTTATCTAAGCCTCGTAAGGCCTCGTGTTGTAGCTTCGAGAGTGCTTTGGGGGAAGTTCGACCACAATGCAGCATTTGAAGATCTGCACAAAACTGCGGTGCCTACATCGGCCTGCTCTGCATCGAGAGGTGTCGTGTTTCAGAAGGGGATTCGGGCTGCAGCTGCGGAAGCCTGTCATGCGAGATGCCCGCACATAATCTAGATTTGTACGTTCATCAAGCTCATGGCAACCATTGACAAGCCCCTGTAGCACTTCGAGCACCATGCGCGCCCAAAGCCGGTAAGGCAGTGGCATGCAAGGTTTAGGCTTGTATGGTTTCGGTGCAATTTACAGAGTTCAGGTGAAATGTGGGTTGAGACTTGGGTTAGTTTAGGGAGTTCCGAGGTCGCCAACATCACCAGACCCGACCAGAACCCGCATGAGCCCGCACGGCTCCCTGAGCCGAGATCTGGCGTTGCATGTGTCCTTATACAAGTGCCTTCTACAACAGGAGTGCCTGACACATCCTGACACCAAAACACCCCGACAGCGAGTCGAGTTCCTCATCGCCCGATGAACATGTGGAGTCC